AAAAGGAGGATAAATTATCACTTACGAGCAAATCATTAGTAGATTGACAGAACTTGTTTGTCGAGGAGTCAATGAATAAATCATCAGCATCCCAATTTTGAACAGTGAATAATATGTACAGATGCACATATACACCAAAGGTACAAAAGCAAACGCCTGAAAAGCAAAATGATCGGGATTTAAGAGGAAAGTGGAAACAATTTGTTACTATAAGGAAACAAGAGATCATGCCGCACCATTGAAGCGAGAAATGAACCAAAATGAAAAGTACAACGCACCTGCACTAGCAGTTCATCGGATTTGACGGAGCTTATAAGGATTGAGAAGAGGGACAAGTCCAGTTTACTAAGAAGGAGAGTTGCCTCAGCTAAAAGAATTGCAGCTGACATAACCCCTGTAGCTATTGCCAACCCTATCTGAATATGCTTCTTTAATATACACCTCCACATAAATTCTGCCAATAGCAACAATGAAAGTATTGTCATGCCAGACTTTTCAACCGATGAATAATCCAATCAGCAACTCTATTCGAGGATGTTTTCATTCGTTTTTTTCTTCCAAAGAGTATATAGTTACGATTTTTTTTACTTCAGTAATGTGTTCAGCAGGTTCAGAAAGCGAATGCGTAAAACAAAATTATGTGAGTTTACCCAATGTATCAAGAAGATTCCCCATTTGTCCGCTTCGACTGGCTCTGAAGCTCGAAATATATTTCCTGAAAGTTGGTGCAACAAAGATGTTTAAGGCGAAGGCACCAAAAAGATGGTTATGATATTAATGAAAGTGAGTATTATATATTGTATGAGAGATGAAAGACGGAAAATCTGACCATCCAGTTGCATCACGACGTTCATAGTTCTTCATTGTGTCTTCAAGAACCAGAGCCTCTGTAACATACGTCAGATACTCACTGCAAACAGCCATAGTGACATATGACTACAGATTTCAAGTAGTGCAGCAGTAACCTAATCTATATAATGGAACCGATCTTCCTCCTAAAGTCTTATAAGAAGTTAAGACAGGGCCGTTAGAAAGCTCTCCATACCTTTTATATCTATAATATTCATCCTTAGCATTTCGAAGGTGCCGCCTTAACGTTGCCATTGATTTCTCATCTGTATCATAGTCCATATCGTTTTCACCCAGTTGACCACCTTGAGGCTTAAATGATGGGTCTTCCCTGAACTGGTATAGAGAATCATCATTAAAACTGGAGAATTGCCACCATATGTTTACAATACAAGGATATGGGGAAGTAGAGGTTACCATTTTAGCCAGCATAGCATCTATAACATTCATGTATGGTCTCATAGGATCACGCTTGGACATTTGAGTAGAAGTCGCCTGAGCAACCTAGCAAGGCAATAGTAATAAAGTGATAAACAGTCTGACAATCGAACAACATTTGTCATGGTTTCTTGAGGGAGCACAATGTATACTTATTTGGATTGCTAAAACCTTAGGGTAACTTAATTACGTGAAAAGAAACTACTTTGGATACAAGTCTGCTAAATGGAATATCTCCTTAGATCTTGAATAGCACCAATGAGGAAGTCATGATCTAAGGTGGCATACATGAAGTCTTGATAACGCAGAGAGGGCATATCTAAGCAGATGAGAACGCAAAGTTGTTATCTCAAATAATACTTACTACAATCGCGTTTGAAAGTTCTTGATGGGCATTATCAAGTTTCACAGCAATTTTGGCAATTTTGTGCGAGAGAACTTTTTGGCGGGTGGTCCAATCTGCATTCTTCCAAAGGCTCTTAGGAATTTCGCTCAAGCCAAAGCCAAGAAGAAATGCACCAGTGACCAGCCCAAAGGTATTTGAGCATGCCATAGCATAACCTAGAATGCTTCCTTTCCTGTAAGCATACAAGAAAGCCTCATCAATAGTCCCCAAACAAATGTAGATGCCATATACTGCTAAATGATGGGCGATGGAGTAGCAACACTTGGAAGTGGTAATAAAAGGCAGGAGATGTGAAGCCAATATATAAGCAGATTCAATCATGAAGAGAGAGTTTACCAGTTCCTGTGCATCATGATGAGAAGGATAAGACCGAGAAGACCTATGAATCCCAGTACTAGATAAAAAACTAAGTTGACATGTACGCTAGTCTTCAGCCTCTCTGACACGGTAAAGTCTCCAGCATCTTCGAAACCCTGAATAAGGGGCACCACAGCCCTGTTTATAGGTGACATAGTTTAATGTATGAGGTAGTGTACATCTATTAGCTACCAAAATATGTAGATGTATTGTTAGGGGTGCAGTTTAAATACTGCCAACTAGAACAAATCTATACCCGAAAGACAACAACCATATGAACGGCAAATTCCTGCTGGTTTACACGTAGATAAAAATTTATTTGATCGTAAATGGGACACATCCTGTCATGTAAACTACGAAAATCTGGTTCTACCACCTAACAATTGGATTTGATCTACTAAGGAAGGATACACTAAACTGATTTGCAAGTATTGGGGAAGACAAGTGTCAGAGCAAAGCCACTGAAGAATTTGACCAGTTCATACCAGGTAAGCAGAAACGTACTCCAGTATGACCAACTCCACAAGAAGGAAATGGCCCCATTCTCCGGATGATTAGGTGGCAGTGACAGTGTCTGCAAAACAAAACAAAAAAAAGACCGGTTGATTCCCTAATCTGATAGTTCGCCTGCTTTCTTTCAAGTCCAAAAACCAAACACGGCAACCAAAATCTAGCTACCACCATTTCATCGCAAATCTACTATCTTCATAAAGAAGTCCATATTTTTGCACTAAAACTATGAAACCTCCAAATCCATCCACAAGAGAAAATCAGCTTATTATCCTTAGACATAATGTTGCTTAACTCCCAAATCAACTAGGTTTCATGCTTAAAACCTTCAGTGAGTCTTTCAAATTCTCCGGATATTAAAATACCAATAACAAATGCCTTTAAGCCCTTATTCAAACGCCACATTCTTCAGCTAAATCTCAACCCTAAGTATGATCCTATCAAACTTCCAGGCATCAGAACAAAACCCAATTTCAATTCTAAAATCAAGCAAGACGACGACGACTCCTAAATGTTTCCCATTAACCCATATGAAGAATTTTAAGCTCGTAATGCCCAATTCGATCACAATCGCACTAATCCGAATCCTCCAACCCGAAAAAAGCAATCGCAGAGTATTGCAAACGACTGAAATAAAAAACTTGGAATCAAATGTTACCGTCCAAATGTCGGCAGGAGCGAGGATGATAACGGAGACGGAGCAGAACCAGGTGTATCCAACGGTGATAAGAACGTACCGAGGAATCTCCGGTCCGGCGAAGTATCGGAGCGTGAAGACAACTAATCCTAGGGTTAGAGGCAACGAGATCAGATAGAAAACCCACATCTCGACGCAAGAGAATCAATCAACGAAAGACGTAACAATCGAGCTTAGAGGTATACAGATTACGTCTCTCAGCGAGATCGCTCGACGAATCGTCGGTGTGTGCGCGTGAGAGCAACGCGCCGGTGAAGAAGAAAGTCTCTCTCTGTTCCTTCTTCGTTTTCACTTTTGCTCTATTTTTTTTTTTTTTTCTTGGTTCGGTTCGTTGAGGAAGAAGAAAGAAACAGCTTCCACGCTCAAA